ACACAACTTTACTAACAGATGGCAACATTCAATTTAGCTCTTTATTATTATTATTATTATTATCAGGTGCATTGAAGTTCTAGAATCAATATTAGCTGGCAGATATATTTTGAACAATTGTATTTTTCATTGACAATATATATCGTGAAAATGCTGATTAGGAAAGCCCATTGTAAAAATATAACAATATTTTTTCATAACACCGTGGATACTTATGGTTGGTATGACTAATTAGGATTTTTTGTTGTAACAATTTAAATATTTCAGGATTCAAAAATCATTTCATGTGAATTTAACAATATAAAAATACCACTAGACTTTTAGGAAATAATGAATTTATAGGTGTATTTCTTGAAGGAATGTTTTTTAATTGGATTCATTTCTGCTGTTTAGATAGGAAGAATTTGGTGAACTCTACATTACCTTCCAATGGACTGGAATTCTGTCTAGGGTGTTTGTACCTTGTGCCCTATGCTGCCTAAGCTTCCTAAACTGCCTTGAGCAAGACAGAAGGATGGATGGATGAATGGGTGGATGGATGGATGAAAAAATATGTAATCAGTAACAAACATAGCTAAAACCCACAAAATTTATCTCCACCTAACTGATTAATGACATGTATGGTCAAAAATAACATAAATTGATAACTATAGTTGGTCACACTGCGCCACTTTCGTTGCCGTAAAAATGAATGCTAAACGTAGTCAGTTTTAACTTAAGATTTGAAGGCTTTTAATACGCGTGCAATAAAATAGTAACTAGTGCATTTATACTGTGAGAACACGTCGGGGAAGAGATGCAGTTCTACAAGAACAAGAATGTTAGTAAAACTTTCATTCTGGCTGCCCACGAGCTGAGGTGCAACAGCGACCTCGTGAGTTTAACTGAGAAATATAATTGGATTGACATTACATTCGTAATAGTGACAACAGAAATGTAATTTGATTATCGTCCTAACTCAGTTGCTGATGAAGGCGTAATTTGTTGTGCCCCCCTCTACTTCGCCCAGACAGTAGTTCTCAAAAGAAAGCAAAATTATTTCCGTGTTTCCTACGGTAGAAAGGAAAAACCTTTTTTGTTGTGAAATGCTTAAAATGTAAATCTTTTATGTGGGTCAATTGGTTAGTCTACGCACATACTGAAACAGTCTTAGTTGAAGCATTTTAATTTTGAAAAATGTTGACGTTATAAAAACCATCGACTGTTCTGGTAAGTCGTATCTCCTTGCCCACAGTATACGTATTAACACAATGTTACGAAACGTTCTGCGACATTACTTTCGCAGCATAAGCAGTATTGTGATGTTAATTGGCCACCCTTATCTGCATCTGTATCTCTGAATGTTTACTACTGGCACACTGGAGCAACAGCACAGCTTACATTCAGGAGGAGGTGACTCAGCAGATATGCAAAATCTGCGAAAAGTATAATTACCCTTAATCCTCTATAAAAATGAGCAACAAAACACGTGCATAAATTCTGCATTCTGTCTGCAAGTTACTGTTTTAAACAATGAATACAAATCGTTACCGCGTTTTCACAAAAAATAGAGAAATGGCACTTTTAATATATATATAACATTAAGGACGGGGTTAGATATGTTTTTCATTTTACAGCTATGGATCGCAGTGGTTCTTTGAGACCATGCGAATCATGCAGGTATGATACAGTCATTTTTGTACATTACAATCATGCGCTCGTGCAGCTCTTTCCAACCAAGTCTTCTTTCTTCTTTCATGTGTTCTCATTGCAAATTATCTGCATTGGCGAGGATCTGTACATATATTACAAATAGTTCATTCGTAAATATTTACTGGCACTGTAGTCAACTGAAACGAACAAAAATAGACTATATATTCGACCACGCGAATGCGTTGCATTTTAGCAATTTTTCCCGTCTGTAAAGCAGTACACGGAATAGATCGCTCTTTTACTGTTTGTATTCCTTTGTTTATTGTTTTCTAGTTCTCCACAATACTAGTCAGTGAGCGTGTGAGTAGCACAGTCATAGGCTCTGTGCGCACCGTCTGCGAGGTAAGGCCCGCTATGCCAGTACGATGAGTCGCACACTGTTTGAAGGGAATTTATCTCCGAAGCCGACGAGTTTCCGTCTCTTCTCTTTGACCTTTTACGATTCCTTAAGATAAAGACAAGCATTCCAACAACAGTGAACGCAGATGTGACAAAAACCAAGAGCAGACCGGGGACCAGCACAGAGATGGAAACTCTGCTCGGTTCCGGGTAAGAGTTGGACCGCGTCCCCTTGTCTGCGGAAATTGAATTGTTTTTAGATGAATATGTGGGCAGGATTTTGCTGTAAAGCTGGGGGCACAGCAGGTCGTTACTGATCAGCCGGAAATCTTTTTTCCAGAATTCTTCGGGCGATTCGCATTTTAAGTCGCTCACTACAACCTCTGATCCAAGCGTTTCAGTCCACTGTTTAAAGGGTACTATATTGCACGAACACTCCCATGGATTGCCGTGCAAATCAATTTGTATAATAGCATTTAACTGGTCTAAGACACCGGCCGCAGGGAGAAATGCAAAGTAATTATTGTGCAGGCTAATTTTTGACAAGGACACTCCAAGAAAAACATCCACAGGTAGTGATTTTAACAGATTGTTGTTAAGAAACAAAACCCTCAAATTAGGCATGGGGTTGAATGTCCCTGCAGTTATCATTTGGATATTATTATATTCCAGACTTAGATATTCCAGATTTTGCAATCCAGTAAACATCTCAGGGATCAGTGTATCCAAATAATTCTTATCCATATATAGCCATCTCAATCCCGTTAGATTTTGAAAGGTGGAGTTTTCTATTAATTTTATATTATTTCCTCCCAAATCAAGCAGAGTCATATTCTGATAATCTTGAAATTGATTCTTTTTCACACTGTGTATGTTGTTGTCTCTTAGATTGAGTTCCTGCACACTAGTGGGTTTAGGCTTTAGGCTGGACAATGTTGCTATTTTTTTGCCCTCGCAATTAACTCTGAGACCTTGTCTGGACTCCAGCAGTTTACAGCTACACGAAACCGGGCATGACACGATGTACTGCTGCTCGCTTTTGCTGTTTGCAGGCGCCATAGCCGTGGGCTTGTTTTTCAGCTGCCAGTTTTCCCGTGATTTTGAACGCCACTTTTGCCCAGATCCTGGCGTCGGGGACTCGACTTCGCCATGTATTTTATAAGGCGTTGAAAGTGGTCCAGAATCAGCAGTCTCTTCTTGGGTAGGAGGGGCAACCAAACTGGAATCAATCCCACTCTTTGAAGGACACAGATCGATTTCTGTCGTGTCGTTTAGGTCGTTTCCCTGCAGTCGGGTTGGCGCCTCACAGATGACCCTTCCGATTAAAGCATTCTTTGGGATATTCTCAAGCCATTCCTTTAAAGAAACCAGATCGCAGTTGCAGTCCCAGGGGTTGTCCTCTAATAAAAGCTCCACTATCCCTGGTATTTGCTCAAGAAGTCCTTCGTAAGGCAACGTTTTAATTCTGTTCCCACGCAGATCGAGATGGGTTATCGGGACGTGCTGAAACACGTTATTGGGAAGTGCACTGATAAGGTTATCGTTCAGAATTAAAACTTCAAGTTTATTTAGGTCTCTAAACACAGTTGGGTCAATATCTCTCAGCAGATTGAAATCCGCTTGCAAATATTCCAGGTCGTCCAAGCCTAAAAATGTGCTCTTTTTAAACGATCGTATCTTGTTGTTATTTATGTGAAGTCGTTTGACAAGCTGCAATCCCAGAAAAGCACCGGGAACAATGTCGTGCAAACCGTTGTTTTCCAAATGTAAACTAACAGCATTATAAAAGTTAGCGAACTCATTGGGAAACAGTCTTGACAATGAATTTCCGTGAAGTAGCAAGTGATAAAACTGAGAGCTGGGACCAGTTAAATGGTGGAGATTTGAAAAGCTCCTTTTCTCGCAGTCAATGTGCAAATCACCCTCTATTTCATTGCATGAGCAGATCTGCTCTTTACAAATGTCCCTTGTAACATTCCCAATAGCAACACAAAGAGTCGCCTTCAGCAACACAATCCAAAGCAGCATTTTAATGCGAACAATTCATTCCGATTTCAAGGCATGAATGCGATGAAGAAAATCAAGTATTTGACATTTTACATTAAAATGCTGTCTAAAAATTACGACGACAGTAAGTATTTTCACCCATTCCAATGTAGCCAGCTTTGTCCAGACGTGCACTGTTACTCACAAAATGCTATATAGCCTACTGAACAATTTCTTTTGTTCGAAACACCATTATGCAGCTGAAAACAGCAAAATTATAACTAAACGCATCGCTCTGCCACGCATCTTAATTTTACAACTGACCTTTTGTTCCAAAAAATAATAATCCGTCGGTTATTTATTTATTTTTCCTTGCAGTGCGGTTCTTCTAGTGGGTGCTTTTCTCACTCCCCGGTGCTGAAATGAAACAGAATCGAAAATTTACAGCCGATCATGGGCATTTAAAAAAATCCAAAATCCTTGCATCTTTCTCTTTTCGCTCTTGGTCATTTTCTCCAGGTTATATTTCCACCCCGTGTTTCTTATTTATAAACGGGGTTACGAAAAGGCTCTGTTCGCTACAGCCTTGTGCTCTGAGACAGATCTAACACCCTCTGCTGAGCTGCAATGGCAAAAACCTGTCTGCCGAGGGATTGCTAGATAGGAGGAAAAAAGAAAAAAATAATCCTCACTCGTCAAAAATGTTCAAATATCCTTTGTCTGCACAGATCGCTTTGGACCCTGGCGTGTAATGTTTTATCATCCCTTCATTTGCCGATAAGGTTATATGTAAAGATACTTGCGATTTTCTGATTTTAAAGTTGGTTTCTCTGGCGCTGCTTTGGAATATTACAGTTTTAAAAAGCAATTAACCCTATAGTAGAAACAAACTGTTTATTAACTAGAATTTAATAGCCGACTGCGCCAGACAATGAATACAGGTGTTGCTTACGTTGAAGCTGTAGCTGAGGTAGAGAACTGCAGCTGAATGCGGCTAAATAATTAACTGTATGTCATGTCTGCAAAATCAGTATCTCGGTATATAGAAAATGAATCTTGTAGCAATAACGAATATATGGTCATATGTCGACTGGAAATGTAAGTCACGTTTATTTAGATAATGTACCGATTATGTTGTTTATTGTGGAATTTGCGCTATAGAGCTCAGTGCAGTGCGGCTTAATTGTAACCATCGAATACACTTGATCGTTTTACAAAGACCTTAATTACTCTGACCACGATTTGTCGCCGAATCGTTAATTTAATCTCTCTGCACCATTTCATTTGCATACCTAATCCAGTTACACGTCATAGCTCCTTCTTTTTAATAGTACATGTGCTTGGGGGAAAAAGTTCATAACATTATGGATGGTACAGTGACCTTAGATGTAATAAAATTGTGCTTGTTTTAAGATTTAGTTTTATTGTCAGTCAGTTTAAGTTTTGTCGATCACCAGGTTCAATATATCTTCATGTAACATAGTTGGTTCTCAAGCTACGTTTGGCTATTGGCTGAGTAGCAGTTCCCCAATGCTGCTAGTTAGCAAATATTATAACATTCTGGAGCCTGTTTACCCAAGGTGATAATCTGCTATCTACTGATAACCTAAGCATTGTAAAATGCATACTGACAAACACTTTTAAATACATATCAGATACATTTCAGTGTAATGGTAATTCAATGCTATATTACCACAGTCTCTTGCTTGCTGCCTTTGGTCATAACTGCATCCTGCTGAACATATTGACCTTTCAATTTAGCAATTTTCATCACAATTTTTGTTAAATTTATTATTTTAAAAAATCATCTTGATATGTTGAGTCTTATTATGGTTAATCAAAATAATTTATTGGGTTATCCAACAGAATCTACAGTATATAATGTTATATGTTCAATGAACCAAAACTTCAAAAAGCCATTTTTTTGTGTTAATCTCTATGTTTTGTACCTGTATAATTATAGAACAGTTATTTCCATTGCTACTTGCTGATTGGTCAATTCAACATTATAACTGTGCCCAGTAGGATGTGTGGCAGCTAAATCAGTGAAGAACATCTGCAAGAGTAGCATCATTACACTCACAAGCAGAACATAAATGCAAATCGGTAAGTCTGCTTTGCCATATAAACATCTTATAACCTCTACAGCACTGTGGTAAAAAATTATGGTAGCTAGGTAATTATGCCTCTGAGTAAGATGAACAGTCTGCCGCTCCCCGGTTGCCGCGGGTCCACTCCCGGGTGGGGGGGTGCTCTTTGTATGGGCCCCCCTTGGATCATCCTGCAGTGTCGGGGGGGGAGGCGTGCCAGGTCGCGGCGGTCCGTCCTGCCGGGGGACGGGCTGGGGCCCCTCCAGTGTGTGGGGGGGGTGGTGGTCCCGGTTGGTGGGGCCCTTCGGTCCTGGACCCACCTGCCTCGTTGGAGGGGTTGCGGGTGGGGCTGGGGGGCTCGCCGCCCGTCCTCCCTCTGCGGGCCTCCCTGTAAAGGGGTTGGCGCCCCCTTAGTCCCTCGCGGGCTCCCTCTTGGGTTGGGCGGGTGGTTGTCTTGGGGGCGCGTGGCTGTGGGCCCTTGTGCCGGGGGGGTGGCGGGGTGGCCTCGGTTGCCTGGTTCTCCTGCCTTCGCCTTGGGCCTGGGGGGCTGTCGCCTCCCCTGACGGCATCAAATGCCAGCACATCCAATGACAAATCAGTTCACACCTACACTTGCACATACATACAAGAATGGTTGAGCGATCAATATCATTATTATTATTACTTTTTAGGGTATGTTATAGATATAGGAATTGAAATATACATGTATAAGGGTAGGATCACGTGTGTGTATGCTACATATATATAATACCGATTTGTCACATTATTAATTATTATTATTACTGATGTTGTTATAATTTTTGTTGTTTGATGTCCTTAAATAATGAGTGTTATGTTTCTTATGGTTGTTTGTATTCTGTATTCCCCTATACTTAATTTTTTCCATCCCACCTACATTATTAGTGTTATTATTTCTGTATACCTTTTTTTTCCCCTCCCCCTCTCCTCATGGTGATTAATGTCTGTTATTATGATTGTTATTTCTGTATCCCCCAGTTTTTTTTTTTTTCCTTTTTCCATGGGACGGGTGAGTTTGGAGCGGCCACACTCTTTGCTCTTGAATGTATACTGTAAAATAAAGTTGTCCTCCGAAGAGGGGGGGTGGTGGTGGGCAATGGAAAAAAAAAAAATAAAAAATGAACAGCTTGGGGTACTATAGGCGGAAGTGACATAATACAGGATGTCTCACTGAAATCTGGTTACTCCATTCTATAACATCCTTGCTACTTTTAAAAACAAGTATGTCATTAGACTGCTTCATTAATTTCACCTCCACTGCCTGTCATGTCTTCTTGAGCTCTTGCCATATTCAGACATACTGTGGCCTCTTATGTTATTGCTATATCTTTTGTCATGCAAGATTTAACATATTTCTTGGTTAGTTGTGTCGATGCAGTGAGAGGCACACAAAGTGTCAAGTATATTTTAAGGCAATTGGCAACAGACACTATCACTGAGGCAAGGTAACAACTCTAACTTAACAATGCATAAGGCTATATTATACTGTCAAACTGCCCGTGTTGCCAGACAATTGTTTGTTGCATATTATATAAGCATGCAACTTATCATAGTACTTGGTTTAAAAAAAAAAAACTTTTATATAAAATCTGTGTACATATACATACAGTATATTGGCATTCCATTATTTTAAACTGCAGTAGACCTTTGTTTTGCATATATAAATATGGAAAAGTGCCATAGTCATGAATTCACAGAAAGCTCATGAATCGTAATGAGGTTGAATTATTATCATTAGCCAAATCAGTTTCTATCAGCATACATCAGTTAGAATGTAATATGTTTTTAGCAAGAAAGTCAACTCAGAATTTAAGATATGATTTCACAAGTGTGTCCAGTCTTTCAATTAGGCAGTTGACAACACATTATTGAGATTTTGTAGCTCTGTGTGCTGCAATTACAATATTTGATAATTTTGTTTCTTCAGTTGACAGACGGCCATACAATGGTAGAGCCGACACTCTGTAGTGCTTGTTTGAAATAACACACCCCAAGCAACATTTACATGCAAGAGATGATGCATTACTTATTCTTTCATACTGTTGTTTAGTTTATTGCAGTTGCCTTTCCATCTGAAAAAATCAGGTGCATATTTGACAAAGACCCAATAATGCATCAACGGAGTAAGACAAAACGTGTGGTAAGAGTATAAAAAGGGATTAGGAGCCAAGAAAAATAGCAGTTAGTATAGTGTAATCGCTGACATTCCTATAGTGTCTCTTTATTCTATTCTAATAAATCAATCCTACTTTTTCAGATCCGTTTGACTTCACTTATTGAATCAAGAGGAGGAAAGTTCCCAAGATGGTTGTTTGCCTTTTTGAAGACTACAGCTAGTGCAACTGCAGAACCACTAATTTGCCATCATTGTGACAATTCTCATTACAGTATTTAGAAAGGTAATGTGACATATTTGCTACTAATTTATGCTACTTACTGGACAGCATAAACAGTGTAATGTCTGCTAATACATGACACAAATATGACTAGTAAATAAAAATGATTCAATAATGTCTAATTAGATAAATTATTTTGAAACATTCATTTCCAAAGCATTTTTCTCTCTCCCTCAGATTGTTTCATTAAACAGTCACTTCCATAAGTAAGTAAAATACTGTGGAAGAAGGGAAAGGGTATGTCTTTACAAGCATAAGCAGCCAGTAGGAATTGCTTTGTATGGATGTATACATAGTACTGTGCAAAAGTCTTAGGCAATCATAGGAAATGTTTAAAGCTATTTATCTGGGTAGCAAATTTATATTTTCTCAATATGAAAAACAAAATTTAATATTAGAACATATGCAAAGTAAAACAATAAAAACTAAAAGGAATTTATGTTCTCTAAAAAATTGCTATCTTGTTGGATGACTAGATGAACACCACTATGGTTCCTAAACCTCTCGTCGTGTTCTCCTCAGCCATTTCATGTATTTGTTCAATTTCACCACCGGCTCACTTAATTAATTAATTAAACTAGTTTTAAAAAGTCACTGAGGTATTCATTAGCTATATGAGGTGTGCTAGTGGTCATGTCAAGAAATACATGGGTATATTGAAAATACTGCCAATACTGGGGTGACTTTAGGAGAGATTTTGAAATGGTTAAGAGCAAACACAGTTTGACAGACATAATATCATAGATTTACATCAACATGGAGATCAAGTTTCTGTGACTGCCTATGACTTTCGCACAGTACTGAATGTACTTTTTAGAATTTTTCCTTTGCCAGAGTCTATAAAAGGGAATTTATCTAAGTATGTGCTCTACAAGAGAATTTGTCATTTAAATCTAATCAGTACTGACACCTGCAACCAGAGAGGTCTGTGTGTTTTGTCCTGTGATAATAATACTTATTAGAATTTGTTTAGCATTGTTCCAATTAGGCAAATATTCTGAGACTACCTTGGTGAACAAAGTAATACCTGACTGTGAAGTTGATTTTGTATCCTTAATTTCATGAAATTAGGAAATTATATGGACTCAATACAGCCATCATTTGGTGTTTTCTAATGCCCAACAGTGTTTTTTAGATTGTGAAGGACAACAGGGTCACATAATGCGTTGCTTAGCAGAAACACTTGAATGGTATTTCCTTCGGGATTAATAAAGTTTTCCAATTTCTGGTATGCCCTTGTAATCAAATACATGTTCTCACCACAACAGAACTGAATTAAACAGTTTTAAGCAGGCCATTTCTATTGAAACTGATAATGGACTTAGATTGTGATGTAAAATATTTAATCTTTCCAATATTATATACAATATTACTTATTGTGACATGTTGAACAACCATACACTATTGTATATTCTTTGAGCATTAAAACCTGATCTGGCTGTATTTTGTCACTCCACTCCAGTTCTTTCTGACCCACACCACATGTTTATTTCGTCTGACCTAGACCAGAGGTCATAACAGTGATCAAGCGGTAAAATATCTAATTCAGGTCTTTCATGTGAAAGCCATTTAAAAAGAGCAAATGCGAAACAAGCACAAGTTTTTTAAAAACGAGAAAAGCTGTAATCAGTTTAACAGTTTATTTCAATGTAAAAGAGAAAAAGTATTTTTACCAAACGCGAAGATCCATCGATAGCGGCTCTGGGTTCCGTCAGTGTAGCAAGGCGGCCATTATCCCGCAACGGAGGCATCCTTGCCGTAGATTGCATGCTTGTCGCGGGAGCGCGCACCACTGAAAGCAGCGAAAGGGAAGCTCTCTTTTGTAACGCGTAAAAATGATAGTTTTTGTCTATGTAAACTCATAAAACGCC